CGAAAACAACTGACACCGAGATCTACTCCAGCAACACGAAAAGTCTGCCCTTGAGCCTTATTAATTGCCATTGCTTAACACACTGATACTGGGAATTGCGTTCTTTTAAATTGGAATGGAAAATTAGTTGGTATTATGGGGATTCTGGGAATAAAGACGGTTTCTCCTGCACTGCAACCTGTTAAAATTTGAGCCTCGATTATGTTTTGTTGCAACTGGGTTACTTTTAGCCGAGTTCCATTGCAAAGTTGTGGTGGTCTAATTTCGGAGCAGAATAATCGGAATGCCAATTTTTAAACAGATTTCATGAGAAGGAAGTCCGGGCATATTTAAAGAATAAAAAAAATTCTATCGGGTAATTAGTGGCTTCTTGTTCATCGACCATTCTATTTATTGAACTATAAACTTTGCTTTCCCCCTGTATATTCGACAGTATTTTGTTATTAATCTCAGATGCCTGGTCATTGCGAGGAGTTAAAATGGATCTTTCGCATAGCCAAGAATTGTCCATATTTAATATAATTGTTACGTCACCGTAAACCGACGATATAAGATGTGGTTGGGATTGCACTATACAACATAAGTCAGGCGTCAGAATAAGTTTTCCTTGGTGTAGTTTTGGATAGGTACCTTCACCAATCTTTAATAATTTATCAGAAAATTGACGATCATCCGGGTTATCTCCAGTTCTCACTCGCATGTTTATAGTCAAATTATTAATCGTTCTTGTCTCAAAGAATTGTAATATTCGCGTCACGACTCTAGTCGTTGTTCACGCTCATGTTCATCTTTAAGAGATCGAATAATATTATGGTGCACCCTATCATTTGTCAAACGGTCTTCATATTGAGTAAAAGTTTCAGATTCTCGAGATCAAATATGACGTTCGCGATCAGCTGTGAGACGTAATTCTCGTTGTGAAGCAGTTTCAGCTTCTCAGGATAACACATATTGTTCTCGGTCAATGGTAAGCCTTAGCTCTCGTTGAGAAGAACTTTGAGACGCCCGAGATGTAGCTCGTCTCGCTCTGTCAGCTGCTAATCGCATCTCTCTTTCTGGAGAGCTTCATTGGCTCGAGAAGTTGAGGCACTAACTCTCATAGTGTTTAACCGATGTGCTCTTTCCTTTGCCGATTCTTGAGAACGCACATTTCTCATTCTCTTAGCTTCTCTCGAATTTCGAGATAAAGATAATCATTTTTGTAGACGGCATTGTGTATTTTATTTTTAATCGACGGCATTCAGTTACCTAACAAAATAATCTACGTTAGAGGTCCTAACTATAGCTACCATACACTTAAAAAAATCTAAATGCCTACTTAAATAATAAAATGGATCCTAAATAAATCCTTAAATCCAAAATTAAATTCTTAAAAATATATAAGTAGGTACCTAAACTACGTCTAATAGAATGAAATAACCTATTTGATACCTAGGTACCTATTTAAAACTACAGATAAATAAAAAAGTTTAATTATAATTAAGCTAATACTAAGAAATATTTAAACACTACCAAAATAACTAATACCTATTTTATAAAATAACAACCAAAGAAATCTAAAAAAAAATTATTAAACGTAAGAGTAGACTAATAGTCGCGCTGATAAACACGGTTTGTTAAAATCAATTATTGTCTGTCAATAAGGTCGAACACTCTGAACGTCTATTCGCATCAACAGCCAAATATTGTATGAAGCTTGCACTTTTTTTTGCGCCCGAAGCAAATATATGAAACCCTCCGGAAAGCTGGGGAGGGGGGCGGTGAATGCTCAGCATACCACGCAGCCGGCTGCGTGGTTATGTGGAGACTTTTACCCACTAAACATCGCCTTTATGGATTGGCTTACCGAATTGACGAGAGATCTCTAAGCCGTATACGAACGCGACCCTCCTTGGCAGAAAGGAGGGCGCAAGCGGCGAAAAGCCGCTTAGAAGTGTGCCTAACTAAGGCAGATTAAGGGATGTGTTATGTAGGCTCGGCCTGAGCCGCCAGGAGGCAGTTCAGGTCAGCCGAAAGCTTGTTGGGGGGGTCCGAGAGAGAGTTTCTCGGTCTGCGCACACTATAGCGAGTGTGGATAGGGGCTGCATAGGCAGCTGTCTCACGAATGAGATGATTTGGGTGGGACTCTGAGGCTTTGAAAAATCTCTCAGAGAGTGATTTAAGGAACTGCTGGATTGTTGGGAGCTCTAAGTCTCGGTGTAGGTCGGCATTACGGACATAATAGGGCGAGTTAGTGGCCCTACGACAGAATAGATTTTGAACTATTTTACTTATTTATAGATTATGGCCAATAAGGCGATTACCTGCTCCGGAAAGTGTTTGAGGGCTTGGTTGGAGATGCCATCCGCACCCGGTGCTTTTTTGGGCTTAAGTCCTTTGGTGGTAGATGAAATCTCATCTTTGGACACAGTGATAGGGTCAGAGTTCCTCCACTAGTTTGATGTGTAGGGGGTCAGTGGGTTGAGAGCTGGGAGAGCACTGAGCGGCGACGCTGTCGGCGAAGCACTCAGCCTGTTCTTCGTTCTCGAAGGCAATAGAGCCGTCGGAACAAGACAGAGGGAGAGTATGCGTGGTAGCGTCTATCCGGAGGGCTCTCGCCATCTGGTAGTACGCTGTGTGGGAGGGGAAATTTTCTCCATGAGATTGCCCCTTTCGAGGTCTCTGTAATCTTTGAGTCGGTAACGGAGTTTGTGTTGAAGGCGGTGGGCCGCGAGTCTGTACTCGGGAGTGAAATAGCGTGCAGCTCTACGGAGGGCAGCTTTTTTGGCTTTGAGCAGGTTGCTAATATCTAGGGGAAGCCTAGTTTTAGCAACCGGGACGACTTTTCATTATCTTTAAGAGAGGATGTTATAAGTGAAAGCTTGCACTCGGACCCCCCGCCTTTTTATACCTCCTGCCGCGAGCCGCTTCGAGCGCGGCGACAGTTACACAAAAACAATCCTTATAGCATGATTCAGTATTCACGCGCGATGTTGTACGCACGCATGCACGCGTGCGTGCGATGCGATGTTTATTAGCGTATTTCATGTATAACTTTGGTGTTTCTATACCTATTTCTATGATTCTTTTTTATTGAATAGATAATAATGTAAACTTTTTTAAATTAGGGATGAGTAAGAGTGTTATAAACGTAAGAGTAGACAAATATAATCAGAAAGCTCCGAACTGCTAAGCTATCGGGAGTTACACGTGTCATTGTGAGTCAACCATAAAAGATAGATAAATGCTGTCGTGGGATATTTTTTATATAATTTTAAGGAGAGCATTTCCGTTACACATGATTTCTGTGTAGCTTTAACCATTAAGGCTGCACACGCGACGGAAGCTTAAAAAATGGAGTAATTTCTCCCGTTTCCCCAACATTTCCCTTCACTGCTCTCTATGCTCTTCTATGCACTTGATCGTAACGTGATGAAAAGTATGCTATAACCTACCCAGGAGTATGAAGATTATTGTACCAAGTTTCGTTAAAATCCGTCGAGTAGTTTTTGTTTCTATAACGAACATACAGACAAACAGACAGACAGACAAAAATTTTACTGTTTGCATTTTTGGCATCAGTATCGATCACTTATCACCCTCTGATAGTTATTTTGGAAATATATTTCATGTACAGAATTGACCTCGCTACAGATTTATTATAAGTATAGATAATATGTCTTAAAATATGAATATAGAACTTAATTACTTTATTTATTTCATTTCAGGTTACATGGTGAAGAAAATAATATCAAAGAAAAGAAAATTAGTTAAAATTTTGACTAAGATTGCAACTGAAACTTTAGGTGACTCAGTAATTTTGACAAATATTGTAACTGAACCTGTAGGTGAATAAGCCTTACAAAGACTTGCTTAATGTCCAATCTCTGTCCAAATATAGAGAACTATTTGAAAAACTTTATATGTTACAAATAACTTTCTTATTAATACAATTAAAACGATTTAGTAAAAACAAAACGGCCAGTTTTACCCCAGATGAGAAATAATTAGCATTGCTACTAATGAAACAAAGCTTCAAAGACTATATAAACTATTAGGAAAAAAATGTTTGTCTTGCCTAACAAACAAATGTTATCTAGACCAAATAAAAATTTTGCATACCCTAGCAAAAAGTTTCTTATCTTATACAGAGTAGGTGCTCACTTAATTCATAACTTGAATTAAAGTTGTTTTAAAATTTATATAAAAAGTAACAGGTTTTTTATAAAAAGGCACAGCGCTTTATCGCTAACGCTTTATGCATCCGCAACTTTTAAACGCATCTTGAAGCCTTGCTTATTATGGGTGGAAATAAATGGTCTGGTTGCCGCCACAACATAACTACTAGACAGTTTCTGGTGTTCTCCGCTGGCTTATCTAAATACGACCTTTTATACGCTAATGTTGGTTGAAATAAAATTTTATCTGATGAACCAAGAAATAAGACACAGCTGGAAATGTCCTGGATGTCATAGTAAGCAACCAAAAACTGATAACACGAACTCACCGTTGAGCCAACCTCTCTAATCCACTCAGCTGGGCCGTCAGCGTACTTGATGAAACATCATGTGAAGCCAGCAACGTTACCATCAGAACTCGCCAGCAATCACAGGCTGTTCCACTTGATGACCGTTATGTGACGGAGGATTCACTGCGACAAATACTTAGTGAGGAATTGTCATGCATGATCGAAGAAAATATTAATAAAATGGTAACTGTACAACTTCGAACGATAAATGAGCGCATAACGAAATACAGTGAGTCCATTGCATACTTTAACAGGCAATATGAGGAAATAAAGGCTGAATTGCAGGAAAAGTCAGCTATCATGACAAGGCTGCAAAAAGAAACGAAATGCTGCAATCAAGTGTAAAGCTCTGTCCCAAAGACTCAATCTGGCGTAACAGAATATGAGAGAGTCGAATTTGGAAATAAATGGACCAGAACATAAAACAGAAAATCTGTCAACCATTTTAACCCAAATAGCAAAAACAGTTGACTGACATATTGGAGATGAAGATATGGTTATTGCTAAGCTCCGCAGCCCCCAACAGCGAGACGCCATGTTTGCTGCTGTTGCCAAATTCAATAAAATTAACCCAAAGGAAAAGCTGTCAACCCAACATCTTGGTTTGGCGGGTCCGCCAAAGCCTGTGTTTGTCTCTGAGCACTTAACACCAGCTATCATGTCTCTGTGCGCAGCAGCTCGCCTCAAGGCCAAGAAGGAGGATTTCAAATTCGTATGGGTTCGTAATGGGCACATCATCTTACGCAGAAATGAGTACAGCCAAGCCATCCTCATTCAAAATATTGAGAGTTTTGATTCGATAACCTCTACTCAACAAAGATCCTAAGAACTCACGTATGAGGCACATTTGGAATATATTATCAAAACGTGCGTGGCCTAAGAACGAAAACAACTGACGGTGTTTACGGAGACTTGGTTGAATCCGGATGTGGCTAGCAATGAAATTTTCGATTCTAGTTATAATGTTTATCTTAGGGATCGAGTATGTTCCAGATCCACTAAAATAGACGGCGATGGAGTATTAATAGTTGTATTGCGAAACATTCCATCCGCTCGTATTGAACGATGGGAAAGTAACTGTGTAGATTTATGGGTCTCGGTGCAAATAAAAATTGCCAATATTACCTCGAATATTGCCATTTGCGTGGTATATTTACCTCCACCAGTTATATCAGATACTTTGACGTATTTCCTTGACAAAGTTGATAACGTTACGAACCAACCCAATAACGCCCTAATTATGGGCGATTTTAATCTAGGATTCATTAACTGGAGTAGAGATCATGATCATATTGTTCAATTGGTTCCATCTAATTATAATAGTACTCTCGGATGCGGACTTGTTGATTTCATGTCTTTTAATAACTTTAGTCAATATAACAACATACCAAACAGTAACGGTGTATACTTAGATCTCATTATGAGCAACTTTCCCGGTGTTGATGTGTCGGAGCCTCTAGAACTCTTGAAAAGGCTGGCCTGTAAACATCCTAATCTTTTGGTAACGTTACAAAAAACTAATTTTGCTTATCTTCAGCCTAAGAAATGAACTGGCCACAATTTCTATAAGGCAAATTACGAGGTAATTGACTCGGATCTGGAATGTTTTGATTGGGTGGAGAGGTTTTCGAGCTGTAGCAACGTCAATGAATTGGTTACAAAATTCTATGATGAACTAAGGTTAATTAAACTATCAGAGAAAAATAAGCTACGCAACAGATATCTGAAATATGGCACTATACATGACTTACGGAGCCCAAGTCACAAGCTTATTGACAAGTGCTATAGTGACTATAAGACAAATATTGAGAATGGAATATCGCCCTTGTTAAACAATCTTCTTTTCTTCTTGAACGCTGGTTCTTTATCGCTGGTTTTCAATTTGGCTGCGAAGGACCGTTAAAGAGGATCGTAGGCGTTTCTGAATCGATGACCCTTCACTCCGAAGAACCGTTAAGCAAAACCCTTAACACTGGTTGTCACTGTAGCAATCCGGCGAGTCCTCCAGCTCCTAACTCGTCGATCTATCTCTTGCCTAAGCCACACTACGTTAGGTTGGAAACAACGCAGTGGGCGTATCCTTCGATAACGCCTACTTCAGAAACACACACACCTAATCTTAAAAGGTGGTTGATGCCTGAGATTACGGGTCCACGTTTGGTCCCGGTCTATACATCAAATTTGTGGACTGTATATTAACTTCACTTCCCTAACTTTTAGGGTCGACACTAGTTTTCAAATCTTGCTGTTGATGAGATATCGAACTTAACTGTCGGAGATGTCGAACAAATTGCGAGAGTACGATGCTTTTCTAGCTATACCGTAAAGTGGGCTGTGTGCAAAGAGCCTCCTATTTCACGCGTATTTTTTATTATCACATTTCTCTTTCTGGAAAAATAAATTTATTTTTCATAAAGACACATACAAAAGTTATGTTTCTCCCAAAAGGAACACACAAAATTACATAACAAAAACAATAAAACATACACATTTTACACGACATTAATAAAATATAAAGCATTATTACGTAATTTACATCTTATCATACATGTTGTACACCTTAAAATCTTAAATATTAAACTTTATTTTTTTTTTATACATATTTACACAGGTCTAATCATAATTAACATTTATCTTAAACAAATAGACAGCTAAAACAGAAAACAAACCTTTAATAGCATTTTTTAAACAAAGTTTTAAGCAATTTTTATCTTCAGGATATGATAAGAGGTTCTCGTCCTCTCGTTTAAGCATTGGCTATCCCTGTTTTTCCTTAACATGTATGTTAACTACTCTAACATTATTTCATCTCTTTCTTTTTTTTAAAACGGTGGAAAACTGTTAAAACTAATAGTAAACAATATTTCGAATTACTTTAATTATTTTTAATAAAATTTCCTTTAATCATTTAACATTTTGATTCATGTTGCGCAATTGATTGTTACGTAACACAAGACTCTAATTTCAACAAAGGTTCTTTCGTTCATCGCTACATTCATATAACATTCGCAAATTCACATACCGTCTTAAGCTTCAGGGATTAGCCTTTCTACATAAACATTGATTTAAATGCTGATTTTATGCTTGCGACGCTAACAATTATAAATATTATAAATTATTACAAATATAAATTATCAATTATTATTTTTTATAATATTTCACCATTTTTTAATGTTTCTTTTTGTCAAAAATTACGGAGCACAATTATTTTCTCACCAGTGCCACAAAGAAAATTTGTACATTATTCAACTAACTTCAATTACTTGTACTCATAAATAGCTAAATTCGCAGAAGATACTACTTACCGACGGTAGCACGGCTATAAATTTTACAAATTTTCAGAGACAGGTGGGCTAATGCTTTAGCACGTAGCAATCGTTCTCCTTCTCTCTAACCTCCATGATTTGTATAGTTATTTCCATAGAGTAAAGCAATATATACTTGGGTCCGCCACACAATACATACGGAATTCCTAAACGGAATTCCGAAACGGAACGAACGGGTCGGCCACATACATATGGAATCATGATTTGCCCGCAAACTTCCGTATGGAAAACTACCGTAGGTGTGTGACGGGTCATTGATTTTATATGGACTTGCTGCGTTCAATTCGTTCGCCACATACATACGGAATCCCGAAATGGAATTCCGTATGTATGTGACGGGCCGGAAAGTCATTTATCAACTGATAAAATGGGTGACTGCAGTGCATGGACGTATATATAAGTTTATGCTGCAGTGCCAAAACCCATAGACTGAAAACTTGACTCAAAGTCTCACAACTTGACTCAGTCAGGGTATGACCCATTTTATAGATATACATGTTCTGTGCAAATGACTGTCGTATCTGTAGCTTGCTACATATATATATATTTATCTATGTATTTTTTTAAATTATCTGCTGGTTCTGGCGGCAACTTGGCAGTCGACGGATTTTCGCTCCTGTTGTCGCTTGAATAATGGTTTGAAGTGGATTTTGATTCGTAGAAGTGATGCGATTTTATGAATTAAGTGTCTGCGAGTGAGAACTATTAGAGAAAACGACGAAACAAGTGCTTTGATGTTGATACAAACCTCAAGTTATTTAGATCTCTTGGGCGCCTTATGAACTTGAGTGGCTGTCGTTATGAACTGTCCCCTGGGTTGAGCTAACGTCAAAATTTCCCAAAAACTTCGCAATGTGACGCATCAGCATATTGTGAAGGAAAAAATTATATAAAAATGAAAATTCCGAAAGAAATGATAAACTCAGAAGGGCTAGAACCCAGAGCTGTCAAGCCAGTTATACACTGACCTATATATATATATATATATATATAAAAAAAAATATATATATATATATATATATATATATATATATATATATATATATATATATATATATATATATATATATATATATATATATATATATAGAGAGAGAGAGAGAGAGAGAGGTCGTTGCAGTTATATAAAAAAAAATATTGGTTGCCTGTAAAGTCGGTATACGGGCGAAAGTTTTACGTGACAACGACTCTCTCACTCTCTCTCTCTCTCGCTCTGTCTCTCTCGCTCTGTCTCTCTCGCTCTTAGGCGGGCTAACTGTGCTCGAGTGGAAGGGACGCGTGCCTTTCACTTTTTATGTCTGTCTCTCTCGCTCTTAGGCGGGCTAACCATGCCCGAGTGGAAGGGACGCGTGCCTCTCACTCGCTCTCATTGTGAGCGCATAACGTGAGCGGAGCGTAACGCAGTTTCTTGAAGTGTCACCCGGCAAACCAATTTATAAGACGTTGTCACGTCAAAATAAATAATAATATTTACCTATCTAATATCGAATCCGATATTAATTAGGTAAATATTACCGAAAGTTGTTATCACGGAGGTTAGAGAGAACCTCCATGGTTGTTATTATACAATATGTTACGTAATTAACGCACACACTCAGACACCCCAATTAGTATATTATGTTATAATCATAATACATACACTGAATTTTTAGTTAAACATTTTTATGCACTGATTATTTATCAAATTAGTTATACTATTTCCGGAAGAATGTTGTGGTTACAGTACAAATCCACGAACGCAAAGACTTTAACGTGCTTGAAATAAAGTTCATTTTTCTTTATTTTTATTGAATGACAGAATTAGTAATAATACAAATAAAACTGCACTCTTAAAAGTCTTATTGCATTAAGTTACAGTCTATTTCAGTTTGTTTTGACTGTACAGATTTAGTGTGACTGTAATTTACGTAGTTTTAATTATTTTTGGGATAAAAAAATTACCTATATTAAAAATGATAGGAATCGATTCAGTAAACGATTCTGAACAAACTACTTTCTCAAAGTGCGTTAATTATGTTACGTGTTGTATATATTAACTAATTAGTTGTTATCATAGATAAATAGATATGTAGTAAGCTATTATCATAGATCACTGTGTATATTGTATATACCAGGTTGATATCACAAACTAATAAGAGTACTTAGTTGATATCTACATTGCCCTATAATAAATATACTTGGTTTATGATGGACATATCTATTTACTATTTATCTATAGTTGGGTTGTTATAGTTCGGCCGTTCAGAAAATGCGTTCCTGACACCTATCGGTTAGTCACGACTAGTGATGGGCACAACATAACACTGAGTTCGTTACCATTCCTCCAAAATGAACTGCCGCATTATTTTTAAGATTATTTTCGTTTTAAATTGGCGGAATCATTTAAAATTTATATTTTAGTAATTTAAGTGGAAACCAAAAAAAGGTAATATTAATATAATAAAATTGTTTTATTTATTCTTTGTTACAAAGTTACAATTTGTATTTCTATGCAATAAAGTACATTGAATTGAATGTGCGTACAGAATATTAATCAGATTCCGATTCGCTTGAGGAGGTGGTATCTTCATCATCATCTTCGCCCACATGTATAATTATATTATTATCAATAACAGAATCAATCCTGATATCTCGGTCAAAATGTTCCACAATCAGGTTTTTAGTCTTCTCAACAACCTTTGCCCAGTCATCTCTTGCGACTTCCCCGCAGGCTTCTTTTAATAGGGTCCTCAACTTTTTCGTGCTGAATGGAGGGGAAGTATTGTGACGGGCGGCGTAACCTTTTATTTGAGATTTGAGCCCAGATTAGCTTAATCGCGTTATATTGGCAATGATACGGTGGAATTCTTAGAATGCGATGACCGTACTCCAGAGCCAGTTCATCGATTTCGTATCGCACATTTGCCGCTTTATTTTCTTTAACTAATTTAATTTAATTAAAAAAACAGACAAAAGAAAAATTTTATTGGAACGATACGACATAATTTTAAAACGGATAAGTTTTTTGAGAGAAGCAAAAAATATTGATAACTGGGATAGTGTCGTGTTCATTGACGAGACATGGCTAAACGCCAATCACACGGTTCCACGTTCTTGTACGGATGATACACAAGCGTCGACGTCGAAAGTACCAATGGGTAAGGGGGCCCGTCTGATAATATGCCACGCAGGTTCTGCAAAATACGGCTTTGTGGAGAACGCGTTACTAGCATTTCAATCAAAAACCACAAATGACTACCACGAGGAAATGAAGGAACGCATTCTCTGAACGGCCAAACTATAGTTATCACAATGGTTTTGGCTGGAACTTCGCCGTTGACGGATTGTTGCTCCTGTTTTATCGTTTAAATAATGGTTTGAAGTGAATTTTGATTAGTAAAAGTGATGCGATTTTGTGAACTAAGTTTTTGCGCGTGTAAACTATTAGAGAAAACGACGAAACAAGTGCTTAGATTTTGATATAAACCTCAAGTCATTTTGATTGCTTAGGCGCTTTGTGAATTGAGTGACAATCGTCATCAACTATCCGCTGGGTTAAGCTGTCTTCAAAATCTCCCAAAAACTTTATAATATGGCGCATCAGCATATTGTGAAGAAAAAAATCTATAAAAATGAAGATCCCGAAGGAAATGATAGGCTCAGAAGGGCTAGAACCCAGAGCCGCAAAGCCTAAAAAATATTATTAGTTTATGGTAATTTCTGTCTATGCACAATCTAATCACCATAGATAAGAGTATACTACCTTATATATATACGGAAACCGAAATAGCCGAAATAGCACGACATAGTACTCTGTGAAACCGACGGAAACTGATCGCACAGTAATACGAAGTGCTAGCGCAGTTGTTAATTTGAAATTTTAAAATTGATAATTAATTTTATACCTTGTGAGAAGTGCAAAAGAAAATAATACTTCTACAAAGAACTGAATGTGTATAATAATATGAAATTATAAAATTATACATTTTCTTACAGTCGTAAACACTGTGATAAGCTGATAACTTCAAAAGGAACTAAAAACCCAAATAACTATGGAGTTACAAACTTCTAAAACAATATTTTCTTACATTTTGGACGATTGGAAGTTATTGTTTTTTTTTACTGCAATTTTTTTAATATATTTCTATGGTACAAGTACTTTCAGTTTTTTTGAAAAAAAGGGAATCAGTTATATAAAGCCAAATTTTTTTGTGGGAAGTTTGTGGAAACGAATTTCTAAACAGATGGCCTATAATGAATTTCAACTATACATATATGATTACTTTAAAGGAAAACCATATGGGGGTAAGTTGATTTTTTCCTCAAATCAATTATGAGCTTTTTTTACAAATACACACACTTGTGGTTACCATTTATAATAGAAAACTGATAATAACTAACTGGTAAGTTTGAACTGAAACTGAGTACCAGACTGAGAAGATACACTCACCGGCATGGAAACTTGGCCAAGCGGTTATCTCGCGATAGCAAAAGCTTTAAGTGTTTCTGATGAATGTTTGTTATGCAAGTATGTCAAAAAATGTTTACCCTCAAGTTCAAGAGGGTAATTCATTATGTTTAAGTGCACCATGACGAATTCTTTAATTTTTAGTTGAATCGGGTCATTTGAGCGACTAAGTTCACATTTTAAATTTGTGTGTTGTGAAAAGTTTACTGTAAGGTTATTCAATTATTGTGATCTTGTGTCTTAATTAAATAACTAAAGGTGCTTTAGAGCCAATAAAAATGCCATTAACACCAGCACAAGTTGCACAAGCAGTAGCATTAATTGACCAAGGGCTGACACAGCGTGAAGTTGCTATTGTGCTTAACGTACCACGGTCCTCAATGCAGTATTCACTGAAACGATACCAGGAGACAGGCCGCTACACCCGCAGGCCAGGCAGTGGGGGCGTAAGGTGCACATCGGCCCGGGACGATCGTTTTATTGTTATGGAGATTTTGAGAAACCGCTACCTGACCGCTGTTGAGATACGCCAGCGGCTCCAAATCGCAAGAGGCATTAATGTTAGTGAGCGTACTGTGAGAAGACGAATGGAGGAAGTGAATTTAAAAGCTCGTAGACCAGCACGAGGTCCAGAACTTCTCAGACAGCACCGAGTAGCCCGACTTCAGTTCGCAAGAGAACATGTCAATTGGACCCACGAGCAATGGGCTAGAGTGTTGTTCACAGATGAGTGTCGAATAGCTTTACGTGCTCCAGACGGTCGAGAACGAGTGTGGAGAAAAAGAGGAGAGAGGTTTCTACCCATTACCACCACCCAAACTGTGAGTTTCCATGGAGGCTCAATAATGGTATGGGGAGGTGTAAGTTCCGACGCACGTACAGAGTTGGTCATCGTCGATAATCGGCTTACAGCTACTCGATACATCGAGGAAGTTCTTCAGGAGCACGTAATGCCTTATTCGGGATTCATTGGACACGACCAGTTCCTCCTCATGCACGATAATGCACGCCCGCACGTCGCACATTGTGTAGAGGAATATCTGGAAGAGGTTGGAATACAAAAATTACAGTGGCCAGCTCGTAGCCCGGACTTAAATCCAATTGAGCATGTATGGGGTATGCTCAAAAGAAAGATAAAGTCCAGCTCCAAACCGCCACAAACTCTAAATGAGCTCCGAAATGCAGCGCTGGCTGCTTGGGACAGCATACCGCAAGTTGATATCAGAAACATCATTCAAAGCATGCCAGATCGAATGCAAGTGGTTATCAGGGCTAGAGGAGGGAAACACCCGATATTAAAACTGATAGACATAAAGAAACAGACTTAATTTTTAACTTTGTAGTGTTTTTAAAGTGACAATGGAAAGATGTTAATTTTAGTGAAAACATGTTATCTTGAAAAGAAAAATTTCGGTGAAGTAAACATTAAATTTCTATGTTCTAAAACCATTAGAGACACTTATTGAATGCATCTACCCTTAATTTACTGTTAAAAAAACGTTTCAGTGCAAATAATCAGCAAATTCACGAGTGGCCAAGTTTCCGTGCCGGTGAGTGTAGATGCTGGTTAACTATTTCACTTCTTTGCTGTACTCATTCATAATGACAAAGTAAGTATATGCCTTTGTCTGGTTGGCTTAGTGTAAAGATCTTATGGACTACTTAGAGGCTAGCTACTCTATACCTGTGCTCTAGGCAGACAATATTTTCAGTAAAACTAGATGTCTGGTACTTGCGTACGGCAAGTAGGGGGGAGGGGGAGTCCAGGGGAAGTTACCTTCTGCCTTTCCTCCTTTCAGAAAAGTATACTTTACGAGTAATGATTTTTTTGTAAAATACCTCACTTTTTAACACAGGAATATTGACCCAAAGTTACTTCTGCAACAGCAACAACAAACTCGCGTAGCAACTCGCAGGCACCCATGCTCAAGCTTTGGCTTATTAGTTGCCTTCGGCGACCAGCCTTAGCTTACCAGCCTCAGCTAATACGACTTGCATATGTGTCTGAGATTTGCTACAGCAATAGGGAGTTGCTCCAACCCACGCCTATGGCTTTACAAAAATACTAGGGTTGGGGCAGACAGGACTATGTGGAGTCGGGCATGCTGATTTGGTTTTAATACAGATTCAACCTATCTTATCTTGAAAGTCAGGTTGTCCTAAACTCTGCTATGATGGTAGCAAATGAACAATGTAATGTCAATTGTTATTATTTGGTTTTCTGAAAAAATGCAATTAAGTAATGACTGCTCTCCACTGCCACTCAATTTGTTGTGTATGAGTCCCATCTTCAGCCACAAATAGATTGTCTGGGTCCAATTATTAACTTTTTATGGGTGTTTTTATGGATACCTATGTTAAAAAATGGATATAAGTGCATTTCATTATATGCAATTAGTGAAATTAGTTTTATCATGAATTGAATGAATTCAAAACTCATTTCTGAACAAGAACAGTGAAAAAGATTTAAGTTTAACCCTGACAGGCCTTCTAAGCTGATAATATAATTGAAATCAAGCACTGGATGTCTATAGCAAATCCAAATTGGCTTCTATAAAATTGAGGTCACCAATAAGTTACTTAACTCATCCCTCCACTTAGTTCAATGTTGCTAGGTGGCATTTTGCAGCACCAGTCCATATGTGACAGCAGTATTGTATGCACAATTGATTTGCACTTACTATAGAGAAGCTGTGCTGCACTTTTGCAAGGACACCAACATCATAGTTATACTTTTCAAAATGCTTTTAATTTTTTATTTAAACAATCTTTATTTGTGTACATAAATAAAAAAATTTTTAAATATACTGAGAGGCCTAAATTAAAATTATACTTAAAATATCTTTTAAATCTTAAGTTTTAGATCATTGAAACGTAATCATGTCAAAAATAGCTTTTGCATCAGATTATATTTATTTATGTGATACTCAAGCATTAATAACATCCTTTACCTCTGATTTTTGTACACTTCACTCTAATTATTCTTTATGTCTTGATGTTGGTTTTTTCTTTTTGTTAAAAGTTTATTTTTTTCCTTTTGAGTGGACTAAAGAATATCTATTTTTAATATAGGCGATTATTTATGGTAAGCACTTATTAGTAAGGTTTTACATGACACAGTGGTATATATATATATATATATATATATATATATATATATATATATATATTGTTGTTAAATTGCACATTGATCTATGTATATATATAAATAGTTTCATATATATTTGTCAAAGACTTGTAAAGCCCACCAACAAACATTCATCAGTCTCATAATAAGAATATTTGCCATAGTTGAAATTCATGGCAACCAGTTTGCAACTGAAGTTTTTTGTGTAAAAATCCTAAATTCCATAACAAATATACATAATTTTTATTAGTCCAATACTAATTTATAATAATATTGTTCAAAAGCTCCCATTACAGGGAGGTTCTTCTCTATTGCTCTTTCCATCCCCTCTCACCTAGAAATCCATGGAAATTAATAATAATAATAAAAAGGCGTAGGGAATCAATAAAAATGCGTAGGGAATTAACGACCCCATCGCCCGCTGATGGAACAATTAAGTGACAAAACTGCTATGTAAGCGCAGTCAGCCAGCACCTTGCCAAGAGGTGTGAGCGCCATGCCTCGGCCAGTATTTAGGGTGCTAAGGCCCATTTTTACTTATGGCCGCACACAATATGGTGCAGGGCCTGGGCGTCTCCCGTATTAACACCCAAAAATATGGATGATGGAACAAAAGATAGTGCGCAAAAGGCTGCTGCCTGAAGGTTGCAAGGGTGCGGCTGGAGCTGGCGCTGGACGCAACAATATGCGCCAGCCGAACGCGGAGCGCTGCAAGACCACCTAGCAGCCCCCCGCTCCAATCATCCCCACCAGAAGGCTTGGTGTCGGCTGAGTCTGCTCTGACTCAGCAAGCAGTACCCGGACTCGGATGCATCGCTTTTTTTGAAGAGCTGGAGCCATCACTAAACGTCACTGAGCAAAACCTGACAAACCGAGTTCTGTACATCCTGCGCTCCAAGATATTTGGTGACGCCGAACTCGAACGACTACGACGTGAGGCTGTGCCTTCATTGGATGAAAATGCTACGGTTGGGAATGCGGCGCCACTAATTGGACTGCAACCTGCAAACGTGGATGCCGTCGTAGACTTTCCAGTTGTGATTGATTCAGACGATGATGGAATAGTCTCCCATGAACTAGAGAAAATGAGGACCATATTGGAAGAGGAGGTGTCGGAAACGTGCAGTACGCCTCTCGAAAATCGACCGCGACTCCCCCGCATACCCCTAAGCAAGCGGAATCAGATTGTATGCGGGCTCTTAACCCATTGCTGACCTATTTGGAAGCCAGCCGGGACCTTTGCGAGACCTTTGTATTATTGGCGCCAAACTTCCCTGGCTGGACCCGCTACTAAAACTACAAACGGCAAACTGACTAGCTTCAGGTCGGGTAATAATAGGTCGAGAGTTTGCGCACCGTTAGAATGGCGTTTGCTGGGACAAATATCAGTTTGTCCCAGTCGAATATCACGCAGAAACTAACAGAGCGTATAAATAACCTGAAGTAGAGAATCTTGCTTGAGGTAGGCGGATTCGGCAATGTACCGAGAGGTTAAGGCGGTTTAACCAGAATCGTGCCTTCCAGAGTGATCAGAAGAGGCTCTATAAATTATTGGAGCGACCAAAGGCATGTGGAGCTAGCCCAGGACAAATCGGATCATGCCGATACTGTCGCATTCTGGCGTGGCCTATGATCAGAGCCCGTAAACCACAGCGAGGGCCCTTGGATGGAAGTTGAGGCGAGCCTATGGACCCCGTCACCATACGCCGG